ATCTTTCTTGTTTCTTGCCACCTTGCTTCCCTGCTTTCGGGATGGGATGTGCCTCCCGCTTAAAGTTGGTCTCTGCTTTGTGTTTCCTCCCACCTCTTTTGAGATCTTGATCGTTTGTTGTCTCCTGACCATTGCCAAGCTCTGTTTCTCTTTCGGACTTTTCTGCTCAAGCCATGCACACATTCATATACATTTCCTTTTTGAAAAAAGATAATCCTGAACTTTATGATTCCTCTTATCATTTTATCTCCCTTTTCTACTGCATAGGTAGGCCTTGGTGTTTTTTTTTTTTTAATTTATTCATTTTTTGTTGGAAAGTCAGATACACAGAGAGGAAGAGAGACAGTAAGGAAGATCTTGTGTCTGCTGAATCACTCCCGAAGTAGCCGCAATGGCTGGAGCTGAGTCAATCCGAAGCCAGGAGCCAGGAGCCTCCTCCGGATCTCCCATGTGGGTCCAGGGGCCCAAGGCTTTGGGCCATCCTTGACTGCTTTCCCATGCCACAAAGAGGGAGTTGGATGGGAAGCAGAGCTGCTGAGATTAGAACCAGCTCCCAGCTCCCGTATGGGATCCCCTCGTGTGAAAGGCAAGGACTTTAGCCACTAGGCTACAGCGCTGGGCCCTGCTGTTCTTTATTATATCCATTTATTTTTTATTTATTTATTTTAATCATATTTCTGGCATAAATACCAGTATTTCTGGCATAAATACCAGTATGCTGCTACTGTGAAGTTAAGTAGATGTTTTCCATTTCCTATCTTATTTGAAAATTATCAAACGGTATTAGCTGTTGTGTCATTGAAAAGATTCTCAGGGTGGGTGTTTAGCTTAGCAATTCAAATTCAGGTTGCAATGTGAGAGTTTGGTGTTTGGTTCTAGCTCCTGCCTCGAACTTGCTAGCAGTGCAGATCCTGGGAGGCAGTGGTGATTGCCCAAGCTCCTGGGTTCCTGCCACCCTGTGGGAAAGCTGACTCTGAGTTCCCACCCTGTGCTTTTAGTCCACGCCTCTTCCCCAGCCAGCTGTTGGGGGCGTTTGGTGAGTGATCAACAGACGTAACGTCTCTAACTGCCTCACCTGTTTCTTGCATAAAAGTTTTTTGTTTTGTTTAAATAAATGCGAAATATTCTTTTGGCTTTCATGGCATCACTCTTTTAAGCGTTTCTTGTTTTTACCTCTGAAGCCTCCTCTTTGAGTATGTTTTTCTGCTGATATCTTAAACATTGGTGGTATTCGAATGAAGTTTTAGCTACACTTCCTTTTTTACTATCATCACTCACATGGTGCTCTCAGCCTGATGGCTGCAGGACGTGTCTCTCTTCTGAAATCTAATTGCCCTCCTAGACAGTTTTCTTAGAGACTTTGATCCTGACTTACCTCTGACTGGACCATGGTCATGCTGTGTCTCCATGCCGTGTTGTACTGTCCGTGTTTCTAGCTTGGTGAGGACTGGAGTTTCACTTTTTCATACCCCTCTTGTTTAATCTTTGAATCCTGAGGACTGGGTAATTTTTTTTTAGACATTTTTGACATCATTCTCTGTCCTGCTCCTACTTTTTTAGTTGAAATCTATGCATAATTTTTATAATACACATTTTTCCTTTTCAATACAATTTTTATTCATTTAATTTGTTTTACAGAGATATCTTCCATCCTCTGGTTCACTCCCTCAGTATCCAGTGCTGGGTCAAACCAGGACTAGGACCTGGGAGCTGAATCCAGGTGTCCCCTCACGGTTAACAAGGACCCACCACTTGTACTTCCCAGGGCACACAGTGGCAGGAAGCTGGGATTAGGCGTGGATCTGGGACTTGATTGTAGGGACCGTATGGGGTTAGGGATGTCCCAAGGGGCATATTCATAATCTCTGGCCACACATCTGCTCCTATGGCTCCTTTATTGTGTAATCTGTCATTATTATCACCCCCTTGGCTCGGCTGAAGCTGATCTTTAGTCCATTCAGTTTCTTCCGGGAAGGCTATCTTGATCAGCCCTCCACCTAGCCCCAGTGTGGATTGGGCACTCCTCCTTCGAGCTCCTGGTACATTCTTTGTACCTCTTTTTCTAAACGCTTATCAGTTGATGTTGTAGAATCTTCTGCATCTTGCTTGCCAAGCTAAAGCTTGTATGCTCAGAGTATAGCTTAACCACTAAGATAATTGTGATGTAGATGTTCCTCTGACGAATGGCAGCTTCACAAAAACACCGCACTGCCAAAGCTTGTCAAGGGTGAGCGCTTCTCACCTCATTTCTTCCCTGAATTATAGGAAGCAGAATATATGTTGAATTTCTTTTTTTAAAAAAGATTTATTTTTATTGGAAGGGCAGATATACAGAGAGAAGGAGACAAATAGAAAAAAATCTTCCATCCATTGGTTCACTCACTCTCCTAGTGACCACAACGGCCAGAGCTGACCCAATCCGAAGCCAGGAGCCTCTTCTAGTTCTTGCATGCAGGTGCAGGGTCCTAAGGTTTTGGGCTGTCCTTGACTGCTTTCCCAGGCCACAGGTAGAGAAGTGCTCCCTAGCTGCTCCCTAACTGGATGGGAAGTGGAGCAGTTGGGATTAGAAGCAGTGCCCATTTAGGATCCCAGGTGTGCAAGGCTAGGACTTCAGCCAGTAGGCTATGCACTGGGCCCTGAATTTCTTTAGAAAAATAGTGTTTGTGATAATCACATGAAACAAATTTTAGAAAGGGTTACTATGAAAATGTTGTAGTGTTTGTTTATCGCTTTTAACTAAGTATTGTTTCAAATACAGTCTTTAGACCTCCTCATGTCAAACAGTGGACCATTTCAACACTACCTGAATGGTGATCCCAATAAACCCTTGGAAAACTGTGGTTTTTCTGAAGATGCGCCGGTCGTTGCTGGAAATGGCAGCATTGGGAATATTCAGGTGGCAGCAGTAGAAGGCAAAGGTGAAGTAAAGCATGGAGGAGAAGATGGCAGGAGTGACAGCGGAGTGCCACACCGCGAGAAGCGAGCCGGAGAAAGTGAGGAATTCTCCGGAGTCAGAAGAGGGAGAGGTACGCACTGCTTTTTCTGGGTCTTGGTCCTATTACATTTGTAAACATTGGTTCATGTCATTGGTAAGAGGGGAGAGATGTGGACTGGGGAGGCCCAGTGCGCAAAGGTCATCTGTCAGTTTCACACTATCCTTGTGTGACGTCTGATCATATTTCATAATGTCTGGGTCTCTCCTCTGGCAAGTTGTGAGTTACCTGAAGGTAAGAAGGAAAAGTTTCTAATTCCACATCTTTTATGAAGTTTTCTGTAGCAGAATGAATACGTTCTGTCACACCCATGAGCTATCATCAGATGCTCCAGTTGTACTGCTACTTTTTCCCTATATGAATAAAAATTTTTGAAAGATTTATTTCTTTTTATTGCAAAGTCAAATATATATAGAGAGGAGGAGAGACAGAGAGGAAGATCTTCCATTTGATGGTTCGCTCCCCAAGTGGCCACAATTGCTGGAGCTGAACCAATCTGAAGCCAGGATCCGGGAACTTCTTCCAGGTATCCTACACATGTACAGGGTCCCAAAACTTTGGGCCGTCCTGGACTGCTTTCGCAGGCCACAAGCAGGGAGCTGGATGGGAAGTGGAGCTGCCGGGATTAGAACCGGCACCCATATGGGATTGGGGCACATACAAGGTGAGGACTTTAGGCTACCGCGTCAGGCCCAAATAAGATATTGTTTTTTTCTTTTCTATTTCTATACTTAGATCAAAAGAGATCACTTAGAGGTCATAAAGTCATAGGAAGCCGAGTGTTTGGGCTTCACTGGGCAATCACAAAAGGCGCCATTTTCTACAAGGAAATATGTTTAACTGCTACTTGGGCTGTCTGCGTCTCATATCAGAATGCCAGTTCCAGTTCCTGTATTCCGCCTCTGATCCAGCTTCCTCCTCGTGCTCCAGGGATGCAGAGTGTAATGATTCAAGTGCTTGTGAAAGACTGCGTGCAGTATTTGCCTCCTGGCTAAAGTCTAGCCCAGTTTGGCTGTTTAAAGCCATTTTGAGCATATATCATTTGGTGGAAAAATCTGTCATAATCAGTCTATCTTTTTTTTTTTATTATTATTTTTTTAATTGGAAAGGTGGATATGCAGAGAGGAGAGACAGAGAAGAAGATCTTTCGTCCGATGATTCACTCCCCAGGCGGCCGCAATGGCTGATGCTATGCCGATCCGAAGCCAGGAGCCTCTTCCGGGTCTCCCATGTGGGTGCAGGGTCCCAAAGCTTTGGGCCGTCCTCGACTGCTTTCCTGGACCACAGGCAGGGAGCTGGAAGGGAAGCGGGGCCGCCGGGATTAGAACCGGCGCCCATATGGGATCCCGGGCGTGCAAGGCGAGGACTTTAGCCACTTGCGCCATCGCGCCGGGCCCAATCAGTCTATATTTGACATAAATAAAATCAATTTATCTTTTATGATAATGAAAGAAGAAATGAAACCAAAGCCACCAAGTAAAATACTTTTTAAAGTTCATAAATATGTAGTTTTTAAAAATCCTTCCATTAAATTTGTGGTGACATTAGAAGTGAGCAGGCTATGTTCACTTACTTTAGATTGCTCACAAAGCAAGCACAACTTTTATGCTTTTCTGTTGTCTACAAGAAGCACATTCAGAAAGGTGAAAAATAAAAGGTTAGGAGCTTGGCAGCGTGGCCTAGTGGCTACAGTCCTCACCTTGAATGCACTGGGATCCCATATGAGCCCCGGTTCTAATCCTGGCAGCTCCACTTCCATTCGATGGATGAAGTTCCTGGCTCCTGGCTTCAGATTGGTGCAGCACCAGCCATTGCGCTCACTTGGGGAGTGAATCATCAGATGGAAGATCTTCCTTTCTATCTCTCCTTCTCTCTGTATATCTGACTTTGCAATAAAAATAAATAAATCTTAAAAAAAAAAAAGAATATAAAAAAAATAGGTTAGGCTAAGGTATGGCACACAAATGGCAGTTAAACCAAGGTCTGCAGTCTTGGTATCAGGTAAGATTAAAGACAGAGCATGAAGACATAAGAGGTTACTTAAAGTATGAAATGATGTTATAAAAATTATAGTTGTTGGACCATCTTCCCCTGCCTTCCCTGGCACATTAGCAGATTAGCAGGTAGTTGGATTGGAAGTGGAGCAGTAAGGACTTGAACTGGTGCTTGTATGGGATGTCAGTGGCACAAATGGGCAGCTTATTCATTCCCCTGGTCTATAATGGCAGGCCTAGACTAAGATTTTCATTTTTTACTGACTCGTGATTTTTTTAGGGCTGCTATGTTTTTAAATTTTCTCATGGATTCAGTCTGTTTTCAAAATGATTGGGAAAATTGTTGGGGTTTTGGGGTCAGGTGGATGCATATCCGGTGCCTTTTCTGGTCAGCGTGTGTAGCCTAAGCTTCCTCCGAACCTTTGTTCAGGCCTGTGCTTTGCTGTCTCTGGGCTTTGTACACTCACCTGTTTTCCCCCACTTTCCCATGCCTCGCTCAGATGAGCAAAGGACATCTCCCCTCCTCCCCCCATGTCTGGATGTCTCTTCTCTTTGCTTGGCTTCTCATCTGGGACTGGCGTTGGCCTCCACCCAGTTAATATTTCACTATCTCTTCCTGAAAAAAAAAAAACAGCCCTTTTGGAAGTGTTCCTCATGTCTTACAGCTGTCTGTGGTGACAGGGGTTTACTGTCCCTGTGCTCTGTTTGGACCTTGTGGTGTTTGGGCTGTGGCGTGTGCTCCACAACTCTTGACAGTCCGCTATAGAGCTGTGTGCTGGGAACGAACGTGGCAAAGGAATCAAGTGTATCCATGTCATAGCACATTCTCCCTTGAACCAAGTAATGATTCAGAAGGTGGAAATATGATCAAAGGAGGTGACAGTGACCCTAAAATTAGGCCAGGAACTCAATTCCCATAACATAAACTTCACAAAGTATCAGCAGAGGGAAAAGACAGTCACAAAGAAACTTAAGGATCATTCTGGAAACAAGTTCTTTCTCAATCCCCTGTACCCAGCAGTACAAGGAGAAGGAAGTTGAACTGACAAAAATTTGGAAAATCCCTTCAGTTTAGTGAGATGTGATAGTGGCTCGAAAGACCAGATTTACAATATCCTCTTTGAACCTATCTGGCTAAGTAAGTAGAATAATCACAAGGTGACATGTGTTTTCCTTTTCGCCCATGACCAAGAAGCAGCAGAGTGCAAAATAATCTGATAGAATTAATCAGCCTCACACAGCAGAGGTTTGAAAGCAGAGAACATAAAAGGGGAATTGAGTAGCCTACTTCGCTGTGGACAAGCAGAACCACAGCCACAGCTGAAAGAAACTGGGATTTGATTTCTGATTTCTTCTTCTTCTTTTTTTTTTTTTAAGACTTTCTATTTGTTTAGAGGTAGGGTTAGAGAGAGCTTGCATCCTCTGGTTCACTCCCCTATTGGCTGCCAATGGCTGAAATTGAGTCAGGCTGCGATGAGCAGCCCAGATCTTCCTCCGGGTCCTCCACGTTGATGGTCATCTTTCAGTGCTTTCCTAGGCATGCAGCAGAGTTCTGGATCAGAAGTAGAGCAGCCAGCACCCATATGGGCTGTGCTTTACCCCTTATGCCATAGCACCAACTCCTGGACTGCAATGTTAATCGTAATAGTAAAAATTTAGAATCATCCTAATTATCCCAAAGTAGAGAATGAGTATATGAATTCAACTTAATGACCAGACTATAGAACTTATGTAACCATTCAACTCTTTTTAGAATAAAGCTGAATGATAGATACTCATAATGTGGTTTTTAAATCAGGACACAGGGCGTGGTGCGATGGCTCATTGCTAAATCTTCACTTTACATGTTTCAGCATCCCATATGTAATCCGGTTCATGTCTGGCTGCTTCACTTTCTGTCCATCTCCCTGACTGTGGCCTGGGAGGATGGCCCAAAGCCTTGGGATGTCCCACCAACCCACATGGGAGACCTGAAAGGAACTTCTGTTCCCTGGCTTTGGATTGGCTCAATTCTGGCCTTTGCGGCCGTTTGGGAAGTAAACCAGCAGACAGAAGATCTTTCTGTCTCTCTTCTATGTAAATCTGCCTTTCCAATAAAGATAAATTAAAAAAAAAATCAGGATACAAAATCATGTACAAGTGTTAGGGATAATACCAATTTTGTAAATACTTACTAGAGAAAGAATAGATGCATATATAGCACAATCTTAATGGTGAGATTACAGTGTCTGTGAGGAATGTGCATTTATTAATAAGGAAAACATATTTTAAAACATTTTGTCAGGTTTTCTGTGACCAAAAGGAAAGCATTATTGTTTAATGTAACTTCTAAGACTCCAAAGAAGTGGTTTTCCAGTTTTTTCAATCCTTCCCCATGTTAGTAAAGAATTTTTGAGCTTGTACTCTAAACTTGTATACCATTTGTCACTTATATGCATGGGTAATATGTACTTGTATATGATGTATGTTATAAAATATTATCCAAAGAACTTAAGAATCTGTTAACGTAAATGGGAGTTTAGGACAGCTGTTTGGCCTAGTGACCAAACTACTGGTTAGGACTGCTGTGGCCCATCTGAGTGCCTGGGCTCAGTTCCTGATTCTGACTCTTGATTCCAGACTCCTGTTAATGTGGCTTGTAGTAGGCAGTCGCTCAGATGGTTGAATCCATGCCACTCACAAAGGGGTCTGGGGTAGAGTTTGTGGCTCCTGCTTCAGCCCTGTTTAGTCCAGGCTTTTGGGGAATGAACCAGCTGGTGGAGGAGCACTTTCTCTCTCCCTTTCTCTCTCTCTGCCTCTTAAGCAAGCCAAACAGTTTTTCTCTTTTAAATAAAAGTTTATACATTTATCTTTGATCCCCAAGAATTTGTTTTATATATTTCTTGATTTTTTTTTTGTTGTTGTTGTTCTGTTTCATTTTGGAGATTTAGCTCTTAGAAAAAAATAGATAAGACCCTTTGTCCCTTTGTAAGAATTACTTAAGACTAGCTGATTTTGCTTTCTTGACACAGGACACAGGATGCAGCATTTGAGCGAAGGAGCCAAAGGCCGGCAAGTGGGCAGCGGCGGCGACGGGGAGCGCTGGGGCTGGGACCGGGGGCCCCGAGGCAGCCTCAACGAGCAGATCGCCCTGGTGCTCATGCGCCTGCAGGAGGACATGCAGCACGTCCTGCAGAGACTCCACAAACTGGAAACCCTGGCTGCCTCCCAGGTGGGCCTCCCTGCCTGTCCTGCCATGCCTCTTTCCTGTCCTTCCTGGAAAGCACTGTGGGAGCTGTTGGATCCTCCAGGTCTCCCCCTTGCTCTGGTGTCTGAGGAAGGCTGGAGTGGCCACATGGCGAGACGCAGAAAGTATACTTTTTGTAACTAGATTTCTCACTAGGACTCCCCTCTGAGGCCAAGCCCCCCAGGACCTGAAGCCCCCATCAGGCCCACCACTCCGACACCAGTATGAGATCAGCATTCCTTCTTAGTCCATCAGCTATTCCTGTAAGACTTGGGGTTTAAACATCTCATGAGTTTACGGAGCCAAGTCCTGCTCAATCCACAGCAAAGGTCTTGTTCGGATTTTCCACAGGCTTTAGTCATCCTGGTGAAATCAGGAGGATCTAATTTTTAAAATGTGTAAGAAAAGACTGGCCATGGGAATAGTACTGTGGTTTAAGCCGCTCTCTGCCATTTCTCATATGAAAGCCAGTCCGCTTCTGGTTCGGCTGCTTGCTAACTATCTGCAAAAGCAGCAGAAGGCTCAAGCACTGGGGCTGCTTTCATCCGTGTGGAAGATCTGGATGAAGCTCCTGGCTCTGGTCCTGATAGCTAACTGGGGAGTGAATCAACAAGTGGAGGGTCACTTTCTTTTCCCATAATTGCCTGGGAACTTGCATCATGAAGTTCAGCCCTTGTTTACAGTGGCATCACTCCATGTGGGCACCAGTTCATATCCTGGTGCTCTACTCCCAATTCAGCTCCTTGCTAGTGGACATGGGAAAGCAGCCGAAGATGACCCAAGCGTTTGGGCCCCTGCCAGCCATGTGGGAGACCCAGAAGAAGTTCCGGGCTCCTGGCTACTGACATTGTGGCCACTTGGGGAGTGAAACACTGGATAAAAGGTCCTTTCTCTTTCTCTCTGTCGCTGAATGTTAGTCTCTCCTTTCTCAGTAATTCTGCCTTTGAAATAAATATTAAAATATCTTAAAAAAAAAACAAAACAAAATTGTAGCTAAGTAGTGTACGTTGGTAAACTTTATCTTGAATAATCCCCACAACATTAAAGAATTATTTTTTAAAATGTTTTAATGGTTTATTTTTTCCTTTTTTAAGTTCTGGTTGGTTTAGCTTTTGTTTCTGTTTTAGTTTTTTTGTTTCTGAGTTATTGTCTAATAGTTAGCAAAGTCTTCTCTATTGAACTGTTTTAAAAAACAGTGATGGGTTAATACATTAAGTTATGCAGTGTTTGCCTGTTTTTAAGATTTATTTATTGGGGACTGGCATAATAGTTCAACTTTCTAATCCTTGACCTCCAAGTGCTGGCATCCCATTATGGTACTGGTTCGTATCCCGGCTGCTCCACTTCCCATCCAGCTCTCTGCTCTTGGTCTAGGAAAGCAGTGGAAGATGAGTCAAGTCATTGGGACCCTGACCTGCATGGGAGACCTGGAAGAAGCTTTTGGCTTCTGGCTTCAGATCAGCTCAGCTCTAGCCACTGCAACCACTTGGGGAGTGAATTTGCAAATGGATGATTTTTCTCTGTTCCTCCTTCTCTATGTTAATCTGCCTTTCCAATGACAATAAACAGATAAATATTTATTGGGCCCAGCATGATAGCCCAGTGGCTAAATCCTCATCTTGCATACTCTGGGATCCCATATGGGCACTGGTTTGTATGATGGCTGCTCCACTTCCCATTCAGTTGCCTGCTTGTGGCCTGGGAAAGTAGTAGAGAATGGCCCAAAGCCTTGGGTCCCTGCCCTTGCGTGGGAGACCCAGCAGAAGCTCCTGACTCCTGGCTTCAGATAAGTTTGGCCCTGGTCGTGGCAGCCACTCGAGGAGTGAACCAACATACAGGAGATCTTCCTCTCTGTCTCTCCTTCTCTCTGTATATCTGCCTTTTCAATAAAAGTAAATACTTTTTTTTAAAGTGGGTGTTTAGTTTACTATTTTAGGTTCCTGATCTTTGGTCTTTGTGGGTTTGGGAATCATAGTAGCATAGTTAGCAGAGCAACAGAGAATAAGCTACCTACCGTGTCAGTCTCTTTAAGTGTCTTCTCATTCTGTCCTCCTACATTCCACACCCCCCAAATATTATCACAATACTGTAGTCACTTAGTGCTAATTACATGATTAACTTTCTGATATTTAACTGAATCGAGACATGGTGAGTACAGTCAGTGATAGAAAGCGTGATATACTGTAGCGGTAATGTGTCACTGGAAGTCCCGCTTGTATTTGGAACTAGTGACAATGTTTAGTTCATATATATGGATATAAGTAAACAAATATACAAATATATATTGTACTTTTCAAATTGGCTATCTTTCCTCCCCCTTTTTTTAAACAAAAGTTATGAAGTAGAAAAATTGCCATGTTTATTTTGTCAAGGCTAATTCATTCTCCTTTGTGTTTTCAGGCAAAGTCATCAACACTGCAGAGCAGCGTTCGTTCCTCCTCACAGGTAAGCAAGTCCTCTTAAACTGCAGTGTGAGGCTGTGACTTTGGTGCCAGGGCACTTACACTGACTGAGATCCTGGGGCATTCCAAATACAGTCGATCCGCTAGACCACCAACAGAGCGGCAGAACCAATCGGCTCTGAGTTTGTTTAACCCGGGGGGCAATCCTAGCAGTCCGCCTCCTGCATGGAGCAATCCCTGCAGAGCAGCGGGCTTCCCTTTAGCGTGGTGGAGATTGGGTACTGGTTTTGTGTTTTCAGAGTTGTGAAGTATGTTGTGTTTTAATTTTTTTGTATGCACTATTTCATTGATGGGTAACAAGCTTTATTTTATTTTCTCAGAGACCTTCTTGGTGGCCCTTCGAGATCTCTCCTGGTGCATTAACTTTCGCTATCATTTGGCCTTTTATTGCCCAGTGGTTGGTGCATTTATATTATCAGAGAAGGAGAAGGTAATGCTCTAGTTGTACAAGATGTAGAAGCTTCTTAGAGTCCAGCCCGAGCTTTGGCGGTTAGGAAGAGCTGTATGTCTTACAGTGACTGTTGTGGCAGCAAACATTCTACGCTGATCTGCTGACCCGGACTAGCTGGAAACATCCTGTCAATATCTAGGCACTTGTTAGACTCAAAAATTTTTTTTTTTTTGCCTCGAGAACATTTGATGGAACTGCATTTTGATTTAGGAAGCAACAAGAAAATAACCGTATGCCTCTTAAGCCTTATGCCTTGTGCGGAAACAGTACTTTACATCTGGTACTTATTTTGGCCCATTGCTAATCTGAAGGACAGTGGGCAGGCAAGCAAGCCATGGCTGCCTGCTTACTGTGTCTTTGAGATACAGATGTGGACATTTCAGAAGGTTGTCAGTGTGATGGTTAACTCTTTTGTGGCTGCTCTAATTTGAGAGCCAAAATTGCAGGACAGGAGCGTTCCTTGAAGAGGCCATCCCCAGCGAGGTCGCAGAAGCACAGATGGGAGCCTCTGCCAGTCTGCAGTTAGAGGAGCTGGAGGCCTGACTGCTTGGGTTCACAGAAATCCTTCAGGGTGTCAAGTGGCCTTTCCGGACAGTCTGTAAAGGGAATTTTCTTCCATGGATGGATGGGCAGATACTATTCCCTTACTGCATGTCTTCAGTGTTTTCTTATTGTGTCTCATTAAGTAACAGCAAATAAAGAAAGGAAATAGGGCTTTTGACCATGATGTGGATTTTTAAAAATCAGATACAAAAAAATGTATCTGATAACAAAAAAAAAAATTTATCCCCCTCCTTACACAGAAGGAATAAGCAGCACTCTCCTCTTCAATTATAATACCTCCCAGTGGTCTGAAATACACTAGAGTAGATGAATCATTTTAATCTTCCTTGTTCTCTTCCTGAGGCAGTTTGATTCATGATCACAAAGGAACTCATAGACAAGCTTTCTGGTCCATTAATATTCTGGAACAATCTCTTGAAAACTTGCGTAGGATTTCAGAGGCATCAGTTACTTTTTGAGTAGTATTTATCCCCTTCTGCCCCATTCGTCTCCTGTCCTATTAGCTCTGAAGACACACACCTAATTTAAATCCTTTTGCTGTTGTTCTTTCACACATTTTGAATTTCTCCTATGATGATTGGGGCTAGGGCTATTTACGGAGTTGTAAATCTTAATACCCAGGCTAAGGAGAAAAAAGAGAACATAACTTTTTTTTCAAGGTGTTGTAATGATAGATTTAGGCAGCAGGGCACAGTGACACTAAAGGTAGTTCCCACGTTTTACAGTGCCTTCCAAACTTCATTTTTGTGTGTCCTTTGCTGAAAGCTGGGAGTTACAAGGTAGAGACCAAACACCCCTAAAGCTGACTTGGTTGATAACGTATGCTCTAGGGTAAAAGCATTTATCACCTCTTGAGGAACTGAAAAAACTTAGTACTTCTACAGTCACAGGGGAGTTGAAGTTTATCTAAGCCACTGTTTTGAATGCTCCTTTCTAGAAGTGCTGGCACGAGGTTGTTTGCATTTTTCTGAAGAATCCTTGCCTATCTCTACCTAGACAAACTCCTGTTTCCATTCTTCTGCCTGATTGTTGTCGAATCTAGGTCATTTATTGTAGGTTTGATCCCTCCAAATTGCAAATTATTTAGCACTGGGTCCTGGCAGCCCCAGTAGCATTTTCACTGCTCTGCCCATTGCTTGCCTCCCAGCATCCTATCATTGAAAACAATCTAAGAGAGTAGGAGTGTAAATTTGAATTGCTCCATTGTTTGGTAATCTCAGTCCTTGCAATTGATCTTTCCTGTCAGGCTAAGTAACACAGAGGATGATTTGTCATTGTATGAGTTGGAGTGTGAGAATTCTTTAGGCATATTTCAGATTTAGATTGTTCTTACAATGACAGCATTTTTTTTTTCTTTTATTTTTCAAGAAAACTGAATTGATCAAAGTGGTATTCTACTCAAGAAGACTGCTGGGCCTGGAGCACCTCAGAATGAAATGGATTGTGGAGTTATAAGAAACTTGAGTTGTGATGATTACATTTCCTTTTGTGGTCCAGGAGTTTGGTTTGTGTACATATATACATACGTATTTTTTTTTTTTTTTGCACTATACAAATGATAACATTCTAAGGACTAATATTGCTGATACTTGAATAATCAATCTCAACTAGGTTATAAGTAGCATATATAGCTAGGCTTGCCCTGCACTTGAACTTGAAGGACAATAAGTTATTAATTATTGTTTGGTAATATGTTTACCTGATTATCTCCCATAGGGAACTATAAGCTGCTTTTCCAAGTTACACTTGTGATAATGAGATCAGATTTATAAGTGGGTATTTTTAGTTTTTTAAGCTAAATGTGGGGAGGAACGCAAACCAGGAGTGAATTTCAAGTGAGATTAGGTTAGCTTTATATCGTGGTCACTTAATTGCCATGCCAAGGGGTAGAGGATTGCGTGGAGAATCTTCTCCATGTCATTTTGTGGGCTGTCTTGGAGCTGTCTGTGGGCAGTCACAGTTCTGAGTTGGTGTCCTTCCTCTGTTAATTACAAAGAAGAGTGAAGTCCTGTTAAGCTGGGCTTCGTTTTTCTCTGTGATTCAAAGGACAGAACCTGCTGACGGAAACCATGAAGAGTAGCTTCGCGGAGGCTTAGACGTAGATTCTGAGCCTGCAGGCGATTAATAAGATTTTTATTCAGTCATATGCATTGATTCCTTTGTAATCATTTTTCTCTGAGGATGTACAGTAGTTGCTTCATAGGGTGCTTTAAAATATAATGAAAACTTATTTATACTGTTTTTACAAAGGTTAAAAAGGAGACACATGAAAATCACTTTTCTGTAACTGGCGAAATATACAGACTGGACTCTTAACCTCTTAGTGCCTCAGATTTTCCTTCAGAGTATAATATTTCCGACTTATCTGCCCCACAGGCGTGTCAGAAGGGTTTGCCAGCTAAAGGCTGCATGCTTCCATGGGAATAAGGCACGCACAATGAATGGAAACCTAAACCTCTCCATGCACCTGCCACATTTAGACTGAATGCTTAAGTTAGAGTCCCGAAAATGTTGTTTAGAAAAATCATTCCTCCTGTTTACCTGTTAAAACTTCCTGCTAACTTAGACGCGTCCTGTGCTGTAAGGATTTCCTTCTTCCAAAGGCTTTGACTGAAGTAATTTTTAAGCATTCTCAATGCAGGGTGTTGGCTTTAGCCTCAGGTGTTCAGAATTTTAAGTGAGAGGGAAAGAATCCATCTCTAGCATACAAGCTGCCTCTGTGTGTAACAATGCAGTGTGCTTTGCCGTAATTCCTTTTTCATTCATATTACCCATGGTTATTTTTCTTTAATTCCCATCTTGATTAAGATGTGTTTATCTAAAGGGATGTACTAGTATTTGCTTTTAAAAACCTCTTGTCTGCTTATTGAAAAAACAAGTAAAGCAAGCAGTTGAACTATAAGTAAAAATAAAGTTTAGGCCTTTGGGTCAGGGATTATTTTCAAAAACAAGACACCAATTTGGTGTCAGAAAGTGGTAGCTTCTCTCTTAGTTTGTAAGTAAATAAAATACAGTTACAATATTAAATGTAAGCAGTGCTCGAGTCATCGCAAGCAGCAGGGGCAACTAACTCCTAGGATCAACCATTTGTATCGGGTTCCAAAGTCTTATTTTATAGCTTGAAAACCACTTTGCACACAGTTCTTGTATATAAAAGTAAAGATGTAATTATAGGGTTTAGTGTTTCTGCTTTGTTTAATGACAACCTCATTTTAAATTTAAATTGGACAGCTATGGTATTTTTTTAATGATCAACTTCTTTTCTGTTTATTGTAAAAACTAAGTTAAAAATAAAAGGTTAGTGAGAAATGAAATGGTATTTTTATTTTTATAAAATTTTATTTTGACATTCTTTACATAGTTAATTAGGGTAAGAAGGTTCAAGGGCTACATGAAAGTGGATAATACTAGTATGTTTTCCATATTGTTACCTTCATGTTTAAAGGGGGTTGTTTAAGGGAGAAGGCCCACCCATTTTCCCACCCTCCCCAGATCCCGGATGTAGGGCATGCGCTGAGGTTCTTGCTCAAGTGGTTTTGATATTGCAACAGTTATGAATCGTTGTCAATCTTGCCACTCCAAGCACTATGAGGGCTTTGAAAAATCCACTGATTGACATAGTCCATCATAGCTGAGATGGTTGGTTGACCCGTTCTGTCTTCTCTCTTTTCTTCGTTAGGGTTTTGAGTCCAGCATTTAGATTAGGAAGATCTCCAAAGAAACTTCTTGTATGTGCTAACAAGTACAGGGCCTGGCACCGTCCATCGCTCCAATCAGCTGGTGGTTGCAGTTGCTGGGTTGGTTCTGTTTTCACTCCCGACTTCCACTGGAACCAATGGGTGTTGCAGTCCAGCCTAGTTCTGCCCAGCACATACTTGGCCCTCACATAAACCAGCGGGAGCTGCAGCCTAGGTTGGAGCGACCCACAATAACCCCCACCAGGCCCACCCCCTACCCTGGTTTGCCAGTAAGTGTAGCAGTAATCCAGTCTGTCCCACACCCCATTCCACCCCAGCCGCTATCTTAGTTATCTTAGTTTTATGTCCTGTGGAAGTGGTAACCCAAGAGGGATGAGCCCACTATTTCCCTCCCAGGCCTCTCCCACTCCCAGATTCCAGTTGATGCTGCATCTAAGCCCAAACAACCCTCGCCCACTTTAATTTTGTTTGCACCAGTAGGAATAATCCACCCAGCCCGGCTTTTCCCTGATCTGGTCCGCACGAAGCCCACAGGTGTGGTAGCTCTGCCTAGTCTGGTCTGCCCCCATCCCAGCCCATGCTCTCCTGCGGAAGTAGCTGTCCTGCAAAGGAACCCTCCCTTATTCCCCTGCCGGCTCTGCCCACTTCCTTTCTTGTTCTCAGGCTGGTAGGGCGCTGCGGTCCCTTCCGGTACAGGCCACCTCACCTCAGCATTCCATAATGTGCACTAGTCTTTGTTGCGACCAACCCTAGGTCGACCCACACTGGTGCCTGGATTTGCCAGTGGATGATGTGGACAGATTCAGCCTGGTCTTGCCCCCACGTCAGCCAATTGTATGCCAGTGGGTAGCTTTCCATGGCCTTTTCTGGGCTGTTTCCTATCATGTTTCTTGCGTTTACCTGCCGGGTCTGTGTCCTGCCAGAGGAGTTGCCCAGGCTCCTCCATCAGAACCTCTCCCAATGCCAGGTTTCACGCTTACCAGTGGGTCCATGAGCCAACCTTACTCAGTCCACCTCCTGTAATAACAGGAACTGTGGCTTTTCCTGACTGGCCTTCCACCCAATCTGGTTCTTGCTGTTGGATGTTCCAGCCCAGCCATGGTTTGTCTATACCCACATATGGCTCACACATGGCTCAGTAGGGGTTTGAGACCCTGCCTAGTCCATCCCACATCTGCCCTGGTCCTCCAGAACACCAGGGGGAGTCGGGGTCCGGCCCGGTTCGGTGCATCCAATCCCAGTCCACACTTGTGCCAAGGGAGACTACAACTGTTTCCAGATCAGAACGCAGCTCCCCTTCCAGGCCATGTGCCTCTTGGTGGGAACCTCAGCCCAGCTAGGGTTGTCCCCTTTGCTCCCCAACTGGGTCTGTTCCCAGCCATAGATCACTTGCCTGCCAATGGATGCTCTGACTCAGCTTGGCACAGCTCCTCACCTGTCCCGACCTCTGCCTTAGACACTGTGGCTTAGCGTCCCTGGCTCCAACAGACCAGCAGGTACAAGAACCTAGCTCGGCAAGACCTCTGCTCCCTCCTGGTTTCTAGTTTTACTTGTGGGCTAAGGTTTGTTCAGTCGTGCCTAATCTACTCTGTTCCATTACCAGTTGACACATTGGCCAACTGTTGGAGCTACTTTTGCAGGACAGGCCCCAAGCCCTAGCTTCTGCATGACTGCTATTTGGTGCTCAGAATTATTAGTGACTGAAAGTTTTGCTAAGGAAGAGTTACTGCCTGTTTCAGGTCCAAGAAACACAATGGGTTCAACCTGGAGCGAATTAAGCAGCAACTCAAAGAACCAAATCCCCAGAGCTCCCCAGCCGGGCGGCCAGCAGGCAGAGCCTGGCACCAAATGGCGCACTGGCCGCCCGGGGACAGCTCAGCACATGGCGGCTGTGCCCATGGCGGCTGTCCGGGATCCAGGCATGAGACGCCCCGTCCTGAGACCCACCAGCTGCCAGGCGGCTGCTGGAGGTTTAAATAACCCAGGCCCAAGGTCGCGCCCCTCCCAAATCCCATTCACCGCCCCATGAGGGCGGCGGGTGGGTCCCGGGCCTGCCCAGTCCCGGAGGCCTCCCCCTCGGTCTACTCACCCCGAAGGAAGCGGCCCCCGGAACCAGCAGGCCCGGGGACAGCTCAGCACATGGCGGCTGTGCCCATGGCGGCTGTCCGGGATCCAGGCATGAGACGCCCCGTCCTGAGACCCACCAGCTGCCAGGCGGCTGCTGGAGGTTTAAATAACCCAGGCCCAAGGTCGCGCCCCTCCCAAATCCCATTCACCGCCCCATGAGGGCGGCGGGTGGGTCCCGGGCCTGCCCAGTCCCGGAGGCCTCCCCCTCGGTCTACTCACCCCGAAGGAAGCGGCCCCCGGAACCAGCAGGCCCGGGGACAGCTCAGCACATGGCGGCTGTGCCCATGGCGGCTGTCCGGGATCCAGGCATGAGACGCCCCGTCCTGAGACCCACCAGCTGCCAGGCGGCTGCTGGAGGTTTAAATAACCCAGGCCCAAGGTCGCGCCCCTCCCAAATCCCATTCACCGCCCCATGAGGGCGGCGGGTGGGTCCCGGGCCTGCCCAGTCCCGGAGGCCTCCCCCTCGGTCTACTCACCCCGAAGGAAGCGGCCCCCGGAACCAGCAGGCCCGGGGACAGCTCAGCACATGGCGGCTGTGCCCATGGCGGCTGTCCGGGATCCAGGCATGAGACGCCCCGTCCTGAGACCCACCAGCTGCCAGGCGGCTGCTGGAGGTTTAAATAACCCAGGCCCAAGGTCGCGCCCCTCCCAAATCCCATTCACCGCCCCATGAGGGCGGCGGGTGGGTCCCGGGCCTGCCCAGTCCCGGAGGCCTCCCCCTCGGTCTACTCACCCCGAAGGAAGCGGCCCCCGGAACCAGCAGGCCCGGGGACAGCTCAGCACATGGCGGCTGTGCCCATGGCGGCTGTCCGGGATCCAGGCATGAGACGCCCCGTCCTGAGACCCACCAGCTGCCAGGAGGCTGCTGGAGGTTTAAATAACCCAGGCCCAAGGTCGCGCCCCTCCCAAATCCCATTCACCGCCCCATGAGGGCGGCGGGTGGGTCCCGGGCCTGCCCAGTCCCGGAGGCCTCCCCCCTCGGTCTACTCACCCCGAAGGAAGCGGCCCCCGGAACCAGCAGGCCCGGGGACAGCTCAGCACATGCGGCTGTGCCCATGGCGGCTGTCCGGGATCCAGGCATGAGACGCCCCGTCCTGAGACCCACCAGCTGCCAGGAGGCTGCTGGAGGTTTAAATAACCCAGGCCCAAGGTCGCGCCCCTCCCAAATCCCATTCACCGCCCCATGAGGGCGGCGGGTGGGTCCCGGGCCTGCCCAGTCCCGGAGGCCTCCCCCTCGGTCTACTCACCCCGAAGGAAGCGGCCCCCGGAACCAGCAGGCCCGGGGACAGCTCAGCACATGGCGCTGTGCCCATGGCGGCTGTCCGGGATCCAGGCATGAGACGCCCCGTCCTGAGACCCACCAGCTGCCAGGCGGCTGCTGGAGGTTTAAATAACCCAGGCCCAAGGTCGCGCCCCTCCCAAATCCCATTCACCGCCCCATGAAGGCGGCGGGTGGGTCCCGGGCCTGCCCAGTCCCGGAGGCCTCCCCCCTCGGTCTACTCACCCCGAAGGAAGCGGCCCCCGAAACCAGCAGGCCCGGGGACAGCTCAGCACATGCGGCTGTGCCCATGGCGGCTGTCCGGGATCCAGGCATGAGACGCCCCGTCCTGAGACCCACCAGCTGCCAGGAGGCTGCTGGAGGTTTAAATAACCCAGGCCCAAGGTCGCGCCCCTCCCAAATCCCATTCACCGCCCCATGAGGGCGGCGGGTGGGTCCCGGGCCTGCCCAGTCCCGGAGGCCTCCCCCTCGGTCTACTCACCCCGAAGGAAGCGGCCCCCGAAACCAGCAGGCCCGGGGACAGCTCAGCACATGGCGCTGTGCCCATGGCGGCTGTCCGGGATCCAGGCATGAGACGCCCCGTCCTGAGACCCACCAGCTGCCAGGAGGCTGCTGGAGGTTTAAATAACCCAGGCCCAAGGTCGCGCCCCTCCCAAATCCCATTCACCGCCCCATGAAGGCGGCGGGTGGGTCCCGGACCTGCCCAGTCCCGGAGGCCTCCCCCTCGGTCTACTCACCCCGAAGGAAGCGGCCCCCGAAACCAGCAGGCCCGGGGACAGCTCAGCACAGCGCTGTGCCCATGGCGGCTGTCCGGGATCCAGGCATGAGACGCCCCGTCCTGAGACCCACCAGCTGCCAGGAGGCTGCTGGAGGTTTAAATAACCCAGGCCCAAGGTCGCGCCCCTCCCAAATCCCATTCACCGCCCCATGAAGGCGGCGGGTGGGTCCCGGACCTGCCCAGTCCCGGAGGCCTCCCCCCTCGGTCTACTCACCCCGAAGGAAGCGGCCCCCGAAACCAGCAGGCCCGGGGACAGCTCAGCACATGGCGGCTGTGCCCATGGCGGCTGTCCGGGATCCAGGCATGAGATGCCCCGTCCTGAGACCCACCAGCAGCCAGGAGGCTGCTGGAGGTTTAAATAACCCAGGCCCAAGGTCGCTCCCCTCCCAAACCCCATTCACCATCCCATGAGGACGGCCGGTGGGTCC